TATTTTTTATCCCATCTACACTATTATAAATAACGCAGCACTGCCTCAGTGATTAGCTTTTTACGCGGAAGTGCGATTGCTACTAAACGCATAGAAAATATCGGACTGATTTCAAAAATGATAAGAACTAACCCGTAAAAACTGACCGCTTTTAATACTAAACCTAAAAAGAACTATTTAGATGTAGTGGTGGAAGGACCTGCAAACTTCAGACTCTAACTCAAGCAATTTTATATCCCTCCTCCCCTAGGATCCTCCCTCATACATTTTCAGAACAAATGAAACTGGAAAAATCAATGAGGAAGAAATGAAGGCAAATCACTGTTTTTCTTCTGCTCACCTCTTCGAAATTTCTATTATGATGCAGCATTACGGCAAGCATAACTGTATATCAAGCCCTTCAGCACTCAGATTCCCGCTCTTAGTTAAACACATGCTAATCGTCTTGTCATAAGTTACCTGGATGAAAGAAAGATCATATCAGCAGTCTATCCAAACAACAAATCACTGACAAAAAAAAGATGACTGTACAAGTTATATAATTCGATTAGCGGTTCCAAACAGTGCGAACATGAGCGCCCCAACCAGGCACTGTAGTGCAGTGAATATGAACACATAAGCCCAACCATTGCCTGTTTCGTGGAGCACGTAACCTGCTACATACACGCCAATAAAACCAGTCGTCGCCGCAAAAGCATTGAACACACCTGCAAACACGGATGATTTTATGATGAAACGGGAAGCCGCCGCAGAAGGCTTCCGATGCTTTTCATACTTTCGCTTCCTGTCTTCCGCATTTCTGTATTTGAATAATATTCTAGCAGGCAAAAACAAACGAATTCAGTCTCATCACAATGCATGCTTCTCGTTCATATACAAAACATTCTAAGACCACTCGGGCTATCAGCGTGGGTATCTCGTATTAGTGACGCTACTGGGAGGCAACTATGCTAATTCCTTTTGTTTACATAACAAAATAATCGGCCGACGCACGCGCTGCCCGTGCGAAGATGCGTTTTTTGCATAGTTCCTCGCCGTTTTTGTCGCTACTGGCACCGGTTTTTCCGGCAAACACTTCCAGCTAAACAAATTAAGACTGGCCACTAGAACTGTCAGGAAACACCCGCTTAAAATTTCAGCTTTCTAACTTTTTAGTTCCCCGAGTTAGCAACTTGCCTGAAAAAAAAACCTTGGCGTGCCCATACGTGGGTACCACGCACAACCGGCGTCTAGGTTTAAACTCATTAACACCTACTTGGATGGGGAACATTCCCTTAAAATTCCCATCCTTTAGCTTCCCGGGTTCCCAAGTTAGTAACTTACCCGAAAAAAATTTCACGGGTCCGCATATGGGAACCACGCATACAGGAGGCTAGGTTTGAGCTCATTAGTACCTACATGGGTGGGGAACACCCCTCAAAATTCCAGTCTTCTAGCTTTTCAGGTTCTCGAATTAAGAAGTCACCCGAAAAAAACTTTGCCGGTTTCGTGCGTGACTGTCACGCATATCCGAGGGCTGGGTTTGAACACATTAGAACCTACCTAAATGAGGAACACCCTCCTCCCCTTAAAATTTCAGGTTTCTAGCTTTTCTACTCCCCGGGTTAGCGACTTACCCGCAAAAAAACTTTCACGGACCCACACCTGGGTAACGTGTGGGTAACACACGGTAAGACCGTCCATTTTGGAGATGGGGAGCCCGTGAATGCATGCAGATTAAGTTCCCAAAGTTCCAGTCCTGTAGCTTTTGTGGATCTCGAGATGAAAAATCGGTACAGAGCATTGCGCGCACACGGACACAGACACACAAACACACACA